CCCCAAAACCCCAAAACCCCAAAACCCCAAAACCCCAGAAAGCTAAATTAAATATTCTAGTAGGTTATATAATATTAATCAAAAACAATATGAATCAGTTCATCCACTTTGATCCCTTTTCCTCTTCTAATTCCTTTGCATTGGAAGGAGAGATCCCTTCTTTCCAGCTGTTAGAAGAGCCAGTAAACCCATCCTATAAATTGAACCAACACCTTGATGATTTTATCGGGATGGGTACACTGAAAGGGCATCAGCTTCTCAGAGGTCCCGTGGAGGATGAACTTCCAAAATTCCATTTCCCAACTCCTGAATCACTAGTAATGCCAGAGAAGGTTGATAATAAGGAGAAGGAGTTGAATGATACCAAAAGTGTTAATTCTACGAAGTCGGCTACCAGAGCTAATATGACCAAGGATTCTTCATGCTCTGCAGAGTTTTCAAAGAATCTGAGCAACTTTGATATTTATTTTGAAGAGATTGCTCAGTTACAAGTGAAGGAAGCACCACAGAAAGATCAAGGTAAGGCTAATAACTCCCCAGTTGTTCCAACTTTGGAGGATATATTCAATTTGAAGAAGAGTGAAAAAGTGCCAGAGAAATCACTAGACAAAATTGTTGATGATCTAATTCAGACCAAGAAACCTATGTCTAATAAACAGGATTTATCCAAGAGAGGAGATGTAGTTAACAAAACCATTCTCAGAGCTATGAAGAGGTACTATTTAACCGAGTTCGATTCCTTGTACGACTTTTCTTCACTTTCTGATAAGGAGAAGTTCCAACAATTTCATGAATTAGTCAGAAAGTATGTCACTCAGGAAATGGGCATATGCGAGAACTTAACGACAGCTGAATTAGAAGATACCATTCTGTTCTTTGGAAGTATGATCTCCCACATTCATATGAGGAGAGGGATCACAGTTAGCAAAATCAGGACACAAGTGAACTCTGTCCACAAGTGTCTTTACAGTTATTCACACAAGAAACTTTCTCAGCTCATGAAACAAGGAGGATTCAAGTTTGTTCTTGAGGACTTCGTTCATCATGAAAAAATCGACATAGTCCTTAATAGCGAGGAAACTATGTTGAAGCAGCAGGATCTTTACAGAGATGCCTGTGTTGCCTTGCTCTTGAAGTGCCAAGAGTAAATGCTGAGTACATGTCTACTTTTAAACATCTTTACATCTTATACCCCTAACGGGGATGTCTATTACATACATTTACCAATAACAAAATTACAGGAATTCTCTTATGATTTTCAATGGTTTTCCTAACATTTGGGGTTTTGGGGTTTTGGGGTTTTGGGGTTTTGGGGTTTTGGGGTTTTGGGG